TCACCTCACATTCCTGTCCTCCAGTCCAGGAGGGTCAGTAGGTACCCCTGCAATGCGAAAGTTTTATACTCAGAAACTTTCAGTGCTTTTCTTTTTTTAAAAGATATAAATTATTCAGATCTACCGCACTGCGTGTATAGTTTCTCTTAAACACTGAAGTTACGTAGAAGCTACTGATCCTTATGTCAGACTGATTATTGAAATACTCTTTGCTTTGAGGTTTAAAGGTTGTAATATATTTGTAAATAGTTCAGAAGACTAATATTAAATAAGTCAAAAGTACAGAATATACTGAAAGTGAATGCTATCTTTAGACTGTAAGAGACAGTTTCATCTGTAATGTGGGAAACCTACATGAGTGTGGACTGGAAGAAAAATAATAATTCTGTATTATTTTTTATTACCAAACACTGCTTTCTGATTTGCAAAACATGAGAGAATAAAATATTTACATACAAGTTTTTAATTTACCTGTACTGAGATTATTCTGTGTTCTGGTATTTGGAGACAATGACTTGGACTGTACATGATGTGGAGGTTACACTGGGGGGAGGGAAAAGGGCTGCTTTTTTGGTTTGGATTTTTTTTTTAATTTTTTTTAATTTTAGTTTGAGGTTGGGGGTTTTTAATGCTTACATCAGTATTTCATATCTTCTCAGCTGCAGAGCAAATGGTGGCTGCTATTCTTACTGCTAGAGTTTCTCTTTCTGGTACCACAGAAAGAAGACTCTGTTGTGACCTTTAGAAAAACTCTTGGTCAACAGAAAATGGAAAATGAAGTTGGGTCAGCAGGAAACATTTAGAAGAAAAGACTCAATAAGTTGAAAGCCATACGGCTTTTGTGTCAATAGCTGCTGGAGCAAATGATGAGGTGTTGAGAATTGGGGAATATTATCTGGTGATGACATGTTTTTGCTGCTGCATTCTTAGGCTGGCTCTTTCACTGTGAGCCTAGTGGGAGCAGAGAGGCTTGAGCTGTGAGAGTTAGCCAGGCTGAACTGCATGAGGTGAGAATATCTGTGGGGGTTTATGCAGTAAAGGTTTTAGAGCCATAAAGTGTGTTCAGCTTTTCAGCTATCCTTCTGAAGTTGGGATGGGCTTTGCCTAGCCTGTCTTGAGTCACTTAAATCTTGTTTTATTTGGTCTTTGTCTTGCATCAAATAAATAAACTGAGTAATAGTGGTATATGCTGTGGTGCAAAATCCAAGTACTGGGTGGCTAATGTTACACCACCCTTCAGATGATCAGCATGAAAAATGTCTAATTCTACAAGGTTGTTTATAAATTATTCTTGGCCAGTCATGTTATTTTCCCTAAGCAGATAAGGAGATGACACATTAGTCTAATAATCCTCACGTGCGGTGACATCTGTGACCCAACTGTGAAGATACAACTGTCCCAGAGGAAAAGAGGAAAGAAGGGGAAGACTGTTCCAAGCATATTTTCTGGCAAGGATCCGTGCTTTGTTTATCAGGGAAGAGGAAGGTACCCTATTTGCAGTTAGACATGGCATCATAGCTTCTTATCATGAGCAAATCAATTAGCAGTAATGCAATAGGGCAGAAAAGAACAGAACTTTATCACTTTCAACCAACCTACTCATTTATACTTGGAGAAGGATCTACTTCAGGTCAGACACAAGTTTGAAAGGAAATTTCCCTCTACCTTAGTGGCAGACTGTGCATGGAGAGGAAAACCAAGGAACAGTTCTATGTTTTTGCTTTTTTCAGCTGAGCAAGGGAAACCACCTTGTTCCTGAAGTTGCTTTATGTTACAGCTGATGACACTGGATCAATTTGTGATTTGATGGAGTACCCAAGAAAGATTAGATTTGTTTCTTCAGTAAGAGCTGGAAATCTTGAAGATACTCTGTTTAATGAAATGTCCACACTGCAGTGTTTTATTTTCTGTATGTTTTTAATAGCTATTTTAGTCCTTTACTGAAATAGAACTCTGTGCTTGTTTTTATTAATATTCTTCACAGTAGCCGGTATGGGGCTGTAGTTTAGGTTTGTGCTGCAAACAATGTTGGTAACTCTGGGATGTTTTAGCCATTGCTGAGCAGGGCTTGCACAGTGTCAAGACCTTTTCTGTTCCTCACCCCAACCACCAGCGCTGGGCATGGGGGTGCACAAGGAGTTGGGAAGGGACACAGATGGGACAGCTGGTCCCAAGTGACCAGAGGCATATCCCACACCATATGGCCTCATGATCAGCACATAAAGCTGGGGGACAAAAGGGGAAGGGAAGGGACACTCAGAGTGATGGTCTTTGTCTTCCCAAGTCACAAGTCACTGCTTCATGGAACGTTGCCTAGCTTTCCTGGAGATGTCTGAGCACCTGCCTGTTCACAGGAAGTGGTGGATGAATTCCTTGTTCTGTTTTTCTGGTGTGTGCAGATTTTCCTTTACCTATTAAACTGTCTCCATTTCAGCCCACAAGTTTCTCACTTTTACCCCTCTGACTCTCTCCCCAGTCCCAGGGACAGAAAGTGAGTGAGTGGCTGCCTGGGGCCAGGCTGCCAGCTGGGATTTAACCACAAAAATTTCCCATCTATTAAACTTGGAAAAACTCCACTGGAAAAAAAATACAGACTCGGAAGACACTTATTTTTAAACAAAGAAGATGAAACAAGCCCTGTCTTACTTTGTTCTTTTCAAATTAAATATGCTAGCAAAATAGTTTCATGTCTGGTATTTTTGTAAAATCTCTGTGGTAGTTCCCAAAAAACTACCATGTGGCATAAATGAATCACAAACATGTCTGACCTTTGTGTTAATGTAAGTGACACTATTTATGAGGCCAGAATTATTTTGGGTCCTGGAAATGTGAGTCCTGTGGTATGTTATGGTACTCTGCAGTTCCATACTAAACGTCACATGTACAAGGACATTTAATTTTCTAATTCAGAGCAGAAATTGCTCCTGGACTTTGCATATGTGTGCATGTATGTGAAGATATTTTGCATAGACCACAATGCACCCTTGAGTCAAAATGTGGTCTAGAAGAGAAACCCAGAATTTCTCAGGCTGGAGAATGACAAAAGAGGTGGGGAAGTATGTGGGGGGGGGGGGGGGGTAGTATAAAGGTGAATTTTTTTCATACCCTACCTCAGTACCATACTGGAGAAAGGTCTGGAGGAAGAGGTAGCTGCAATAAACATTCCTTCATTCCTTCTCAGTCACTTGCTTCAACCCAAGAGAAACATTGATTTCATACTTGTTCAGTTAGCCTAGGTGCTCAGCCCAAAGGGATCAAGTCTGTTCTGGACTTTGAGCCCCCAAAATGAACCCAGGTGGTTCCCCTGGTAGTATTCCTAGCAAGTAAAAAGAAGTAGATGTGTAACTTCACTTATTTCATAATCAGAGTGACCGTGCGTTTCACAGCATCTATTTCCACAAGAATTAAGCATTTTGTATGCATTAAATTAATGTTTAATTTCTCTCAGCCACATTCTTGTAACTCACCTTGTCAACAATACAGCTCATCACTGCTCACTAAAACTTTGCATCTCAGAAAAACCTTAACTGAACAAAAGGTGGCTTTAATGGTCCACATAAATTAATCTCTCATGTGTATCAGTACTGAATCTGCTTTTTATGCATAGAGGTAAAACATATGAATTAACAGATATTTCTTGAAACTTACAAAGCGTTATGCAAAAGGATGATAATCTTTTTTCTATTTTCAGCAGGTCTGATGGTGTCACTTCCTTTCAAAGGGAACTGTCAAGTAAGCTGGTTTTGTTTATATAGTTTTTTTCAATATCTTCATAATACAGAGCAGCTGCTTAAAATGTAAATGAGAAATACCTTCCGTTCCCTGTTTTTGGCATTTCAGGAAATTTCTAGAGCTTCATTGCTGTCTAGACTGTAAGATCTATGAAGCATGCAACACCCTTCCTGCAGGAGCACAATGCAGTGAAGGGATGCAGCATTCAGATGGGATTTCATGCTGGCTGTGAGTACCCCTGTCCCAAAATATGGCAGGTGTGTGCTAAAAGGAATCCCAGCTAATGTGGTGCATGGTGAGGAAGCACGGTGCACACAACAGGAAAATGGCTTTTTTTCCTGTCAATGGCACCGAGCAAAGGTATTGCTCAGCCTGAGGAGAAAATAAGCAACTTAAAAAAGGAATTAGGCCCCTTCATTCACTCTGTTTCAGTCATTGTAAAATACCTGCATTAGGTCTTGGATTAACTTAAAAATAAATAAGAGGCATTCAACCTAAGATGGTTTTGGTTGTGGTGCTCTTTTGACTAGAAAGGAATTAATTTGAACACTAAAGTGTAGCCTAAAATACACATCTGGAAATGGTATTTTTAGTGCATTAACATGACATTTTACTATGCAGGCTAGACTGGCATGAAGTTCAGCTAAAACAGTCCCAATAGAATTAACCTTTCTATCTGAAACTTGAAAAGGGAGACTATTTGGTAGGGTACTTCTTCCTCTGTTCTTTTATTTTCCTTTCCTTCCAAATATACACAGCCTTAGGTGTAGTATAAATATACACTGTGAATTTTATTGTAAAATAATTGCCACGCTTTATTGGTACAACACTTTCACCAGAAGAGTTATCAAACACTACAAGCAAACAAACTCTTGCTACCCAAAATGATTGACTCTGAGAGCTCAGACAACACAGACTAAAACCCTTTGATACTGGTTTATGAAAGCAGAACACATATCCAGAGTGTTTTCTTCATTTTTCCTCTTGAAGAAAATCAATTCTGCAGTGGACTGAGAGGGAAACATCTCATGCTTACAGTAGCCAGAAGGTTCTACTACATCTGACTGAGGCAAACTGAGTGGTGATGTTCCTGTCCCTGGAGTTCCAGGGCTCTGCCCTGCTCACAGGAGATGTGGGTACAAGCGGAGTGGCAGTAGCACATGCTGTGCTGGGTTCCTTTGGGAAGCCTAGTGCCTGCACAGCACAGATTCCAGAGGTTTCTATAAAATAAAATAAAGACTACCAGCCACTAAAATAAATTATTTGTTCTACGGTGCATATGGTGGAGGCTTTTCTCCAGGCAAGCAGTAGGTTGGTGTATAGAGGGCTGGAGCATTTGGGGGAAGACCATAGCTGGAGCTGGATTGAGAAGGAGGCTGGGTTTCTTCTGATAAAGAAATGTCAGTAGATGATGTTCCTGGAAAATTGCTGGCAGGCTGTATGAGACAAAGAGAAATAACTTCTTCAGTAAAGGAGTACAACCCCATTGCAGTTTGGTGTTGTTTGCCATGTGTTACATAATAAGCCCCATGATTAAATTTCTCATGCATCGCAGCACAACATTAAATTTAGTTCCAAAGCACCTGCTTAACTGTAACAATGATGGTGTCTAGTGAAACAAGAGAGATTCCATCTGTAAGCCAAGTAATTTTTAATAGACATTGTGTAGACAGCTAGGCAATAGAGCAGAACAGGAATTTCTGCAGGAAAAGATGCTTGGCTTCCTGGGTGAGGCACAGCACCTGCCTGACTGATTAGGTTACGTGTGGCTGCTCGTTTCCAGGCATCGCTGTGAAATTTAAATTACCTCAGTTGTAATTAATCTCTGCTATAATACTTGCATAAATGCAAGGTCTTGCTCCTTTGCCAAATGCAGATTCTTCTTAAGAGAAAATTTTACAGGTAGGCACGTGTCTCCCTCTTTGGTAGTCAGCTGTGATGGGGCTTTAGCTGAAAAAGGCATGAAAAATAAATAGAGCTTTGGAAGTAGCCCATCTTCAGGAAGAAGCAGGGTTCGTTAAAAGAAAAGAATGCATGTAGGGAATAATATTCAGGATAAAATCCTACTACTGCTTTAACCAAGTTTTGTGACTGATTTCCAGAGGGTGAGGATTTTACTCCTCTCATATGCTAGCACATGCCTGTCTATGGGCTTCAACTGAAGACTTGGGCTCAACCCCCTCAGGTTCAGACTTTAGGTGAACTTAAAGTGCCTGGAATTTAAAAACAAGATAAAGTAATCATGGATCTTTTTCAAAGGAAATGAAAAATCTGGGCAAGTGATATTCCCTACTGCTAAAAACATTAATAGCCACAATATAGAAGGCCAAGACCAAGGCTGGCCCTTGGACAATGGCATCTCAGAGCTGTCCAAGGCTGGCAGACCCCATGCCAAGGTGTTTGCTTCTTCTATGTGGCTCCATGTGAGCAGGGGCTGCTGCCCTGGGTCAAACCTTGGCAAAGAAAATGTTGTCCTGCATTTGTACCACACGGTGACTTAGTGAGTGAGAATGGGGGCATCCCAACAGGAAGGCTTATTTCTGCCCTTTAACTCTCTGAGGCAGTGCAGGTATACTGACAGTCCTGGTAGATACATCAGCTCCAAACCTCCAGTTGTTGTGGGTTTGGGTTGGATTGGGGTTTTATTTATTTTGGAGTTATTGCTTCCCTCCTCTCTCAAACTGCAACCACTGCTTCCATCTGTTTGCCTGGAATTGTTTCTGTAGTGAGTTCTTCTCTAGCAGGAATAACAGGCACAACCCATAACTGCTGTCATCACCAGTCCCTGCCTATCTAATCAGGACCATTACCTGCCCAGCTGGCAGGCTTGTTACCAAGATCAGTTGTGGCTAAACTGTACCAATGAGGGATGTATTATTTTGTTGGCACATATCACAGTAAACAAAATAAATGCTGGTTACATCTTTTCAAAATGCATTCCTGCTATAAACCTTCCTTTTTGACATATGGCTGATTTCTTTTATAAACTTTGCCTCTCTGGCAAGCATTTATTCAGTGAGATACTGGATTCAGCAGAGGTCCAGGAATGAATGTCATACACCTTTAGCCTGAGATAATCCACTGGTGACTCTAAAGGGTAGACCAGCTCAGGCAGGGTCTTCTATACTCTGTGGACAGCTAAAACTTAATTCAGTTTCCCACATCTAAGTGTCCAGCCCTTTTGGGATACCATGGGATATCCCAGATGTCCACACAGATGTAATCTGGAGACAATGGGACCTGAACCTGGGCCCTCTCAGAGCAGCAGCAGGGGACAGGTGGCTACTTGATCTCACTATCGAGCAGTTATCATTCTAGATCCCTACATGCCAACAGCCCCTGTGCTCAGTCAGATGAATCCCAGACCCAGACTGGGATTAAGGGCTGCATCTGAGCAGGCCTTGTGAAGGCCTGAATCCAGTAGCTTAAAGTACTTAAATGGAACATGAAGACCTCAGACCTGCAGTCCCATGGATTCAGCCCACAGTTTTCAAGCTATAGATGACAGTTAAGCTTTTGGCTGCTCCTAATCATTCATTCACAATTTGTACCTTTGAATATATTTATTATGATTTTTTCAATTCATATACTGATGCAGAAATTACTTCTCTCCAAACTGTAACATAATGAGTTCATACATACAGGGAGGTGGCTTGCTTTTATGTTTTTTCCTCAGGAATAGAGTTAAGTTTTCCCATTGTTTGTTAGTAACCATCCCAGTGGATTCCAGTGTTTCTTACTAACCTCTCCTGACTTGAGGATAGCTGGTGGTGTCTCCCTCAATGTCATGAAGAGGAAGGAAGATAAATGAACACACTTATTTGAAAAAGTAGAAATCTAGGGGAAATAACTGTGTTTCTTTTGGAGTGCAGATAAGAATTTGGAGTAAATGCAATGTATTTGTTTCTCAGTGGACACAGGACTGAACAGTCATAATGGATCCTCATGACTACTTACCTGAATATTTTCAGCTTAATTTCATGTGTTTCTATCCCCTTCTCTCTCTACTCTTGGCTACTTTTACCTCATCAGCAGGTAAGAGTCCAAAGCACAACCAGAGGAAGCCTGAGGTCTGAGAACAGACCAGAAAACAAGGCATAGACTAAATCATCCCACAGACAAACCTGGGAGCTGGGATCCAGCTAAGATCTGCAAAGTTTGTACTGAGCAAATAGCAGCTTGTGCTTTTCTGATGGTGTGAGAAGGGTGTGTTCTTGTACTGTACCTGAAGAGGTAATGGGTAGGATGGATATGTAGAAATGGTTGCCGTGGAAGGACAGAACCCAGCGTATGTCAGGATCTGCTGGGCAGGATTGTACAGGATCTGAGGAGGAGGTGCAGCACTGAAAGCAATTTGGGACAGAGGTACCTGTTGAGCACAGAAGACAGCAATACATCAGTACAATGTAGAGGGGGCTGAAGCAGGAACTGCTCCTAACACAAGAAACAAGACAATTTAACAACTTTCTATTTTCCAACACAATACCAGTAGTACAGAAAACCATGGAGCAGACAGAATGAGAGGAGGGTGTATCCGGAATTAATTGTCTGAGTAAAAATACACAGCTATTTTAATCTTTTTCCCTTGGAAAAAGGCTGCTGGTGCTTCCCTAGCAACAGTTACAGAAGCACTGGCAGGGCTCCAGATCTGAGACACCCTGAAGAGCACAGCACAGAGCTTTGGCTGCCTCTTCCTATTCATCCAGCACCAAACACCAAGTCCTTCACCATTTGCTGCAGACTTCTTCCAGCAGCAACTACCTGATGCCCTCAAGTCTTTTTTCTCTGCTTTCCTACACAGATTTACCTAGATCTCCCTTTCCAGACCAGTTGCTCCTCTTTCACAGCTCACTCTCACTTGGAAAATAGTTTGCTGTTGGTTCACCAGCATCAGTGTGCTTACCTCATCCCTACTGCAGAAAATCCTTCTCTTATGGCTTTATTGGCATGTCTTTTAATTACAATACAAAATGAAGTTTGCAGGAAGAAGTAATAACTTACATTAAACCAGCTAAAAAATCGTGGTCAGGGAAAAAACCCAAATGCTAAATGTGAAAAAGGGTTTGTGTTAAACCCTAAAACCCTATGCCATATAACAATTTGTGAAGGACAGCAGAGCAACAAAGCTTTGTGGAATATTTTCATAAGATAAATCCAGTGGTTTCTTTTATTTCCTTTGTTTTTGTTAGCAGATTCCTCCACATGAGAGCATGGAATTTTCTTTTCACTGAAATAATAAAATATGGTAGTTGCCATACAAATGCTGAAACCAGCAGCCAGGATTTTTTTTTTTTTTTAAATTTCCTTTCAAATTTATCAGTGGGAGATACAAACTACTACATCTTCTGGAGACAGTGTGAGATCTCTCTGTGATTGGGAAAGAGGTATATTAATGGTATTTGTACATGGAAAACATCATCTAGGTCACTGATGTACCACATGAGGTTACTGAAAAACCTAGGCCTTAGTTTTGTGAAGAAATTTGGCATTTCAGGAGCTGGCATGGAGAAAGACTGGGATCAAAGGCAGAGGGCTTATTTCATGGGATAAGGCAAGACTCTCATCTTCAAGGCACCCTCCTCAAAACACTCTCATCTGCAAGGTACCCAGATTTCTACCTGCCCTGCTGGGTGGATATGGTGGGGAGAGATGTAAAGACAGTGCCTCAGGAGCAGGGAGGAACAGGTAACCTGCTTGCTTCACACCCAAAGGTTTGGGGCCAGTGCCACAGCCCCAGAGTGTGCCCTTCCTCCCTCAGAGGAGGGATGAAATCAGATCCCTCTGACATAAATGAGTCACGAAACACTTGCTTTATCCACAGATGTGGAATACAGATGCAGATGTTCTGCATCTGTCACCAACTTCCTGGTGTGGGTCTCTTTGGGTGCCATTGTTTGACCCCCTTTGGCTTCTTCTCTTGGGAACCTCTCTCAGTCCTCTCACATTCCATCCACCCACAGAGCAGGGCTCTCTAATTGCTAAGGATGAACATCTCAAGAGTCCTAGAAGACAAATTTGGGGAATCATCCATGCCACATACACTAATCAAAGCACCTTATTAACATGCTGTCTGGTCTCAGCCCAGGGCCAGCAACAATTTGCAGTTATTGAAGTGGGTTGGATGCTTTTATCAAGTATTCCAGTAATTACTCTGTGTCAAATTACTCACCTAAAATACAAGGGTAGGTTGAGACGTTCTAAACTGCACCAACACCCAAGTCAAATTGATAAGGAGCTATGAACTAGCCAGGGAGTGCTGACAGTGTCAGCTCACTGGCTTCAAACAGACCTATCAGAGAATTTATGTCTGACCTCCATCTACTTTTTACATCAGACTGCACCTTTAGTTGCAAGAGTGCTAAGACATAAATGTGTGCCAAGTAGCTCAGCAATTAGGGGTTAGTTTTGCTTTCCTTTTTAGAGCAGGGTGAGGGAAGAGGAGAGGGGATAAAGCAATGCTATTTCATCTGTTTAAATTCCTTTAAGGACTGCAAGGAGGAGACTAATTAATAAACATTTTAAAAGGCATCCCCTTCCCACCCCACCATGCTCCCCTCAGGAATATCAGTAATTCAGATTAATGCAGCTCTAAACTCAGGGCAGGCAGATTCCTTGGCAAAGTGTGTCAGAAAAACATCCAGAAGGCATCAAATGAATACCAGGGCAGGGAAGGAAGTTGCTAGATTAACTCAGCATCAGCAAGTGAAATTTTCCATGTAATTCTTTAGCTGCAACTTCTCTAAGAAATGATCACAGTGCGTTATCATTTTGGGTACTTTGGCTATTATATCTATTGGCTCTTACATCTATTGATGTAATATCTAAATCTGCTTTTCAGAGGTGACTTTAAGGGAACTGCTTCCATGTCCTATATCCAAGCATGCTGTAGATCTTAAAAGGAGGGTTCCTGTTGTAAGCACTGCAGCTCCCCCAGCATCCTGCACACCACAGAGAGCAGCCCCATGGGCAACACAGCAGCCACTGAGCTGACACCTTGGGGGTCAGGAGAGAATGAAATAATTCCCACTGAGCCAGCACAGCCCTCAGGCAGGCAGCAAAACCACAGGGAGCGTGCCAGGGATTTGTCACAAGAAAGAAAAGCCGAAACAACCAAAACACTTTTTTTTCTGTCCAGGAAATATGATGGGTTTAAAGGAAAGGGCACTGTTTTGCAAACTCCCCCCTTTGTAACATGGTTTGGCTGCCAGCATTCCCCAGAGATAAACATGATGTTTTTTGTTTGACTGGTCAGCCTGGCCTTGTGTATTCTGGAAGTCAATCCCAAAGCAATGCTGTGAGGCATTTCAGGGGGCTTTGCAGCTCTCTCTGAAAAATGCCAGTGAGCGTTTATGTGAGAAGGTGAAATCTTAAAGCAAAGCAAATAGTTCTCTCACATATTTTAATGGGCTTTTTTGCTCTTTTTATTTCAGTCCCATGCCCCTTTCTTTTCCTCTTCTGCTTGATGTTTTCTTGGCCCCTGTCTTCCTCCAAGAGTTACTCCTTTTGTGAGGAAAGGGAGAAGCAGATTAGAAAATTATCTCTGGTACTAACTCAAAAGAACCCTGAAAAGCACAGGCAGGAGCAAGGAGCAAACATTTCATTTTGGATTGGTGCTTTAGTAAGACTTTTACAAGTGTAGCTGAGGTGACTGGCACAAACTCATCTTTCCCTTGGACTATGACATCCTTTTTCTGCTCTCACTCAGTGGAGACACTGAACAGCTTATTCAGATGAGGTTTTTAGCTGGAGCCCTGACAGACTCACTTCAGCTAAGCTTGGGGTCAAGTTGCACATCCACTGCTGCTGCAATTTCCCCCCATGCTTTTATGCCACCCAGTCAGAGGAGCCAGACCAGACTCTGCCTCCCAGAAAGGGAATGTGCCAGATCATGGAGACTGCAGTTCTCCCAGGAACATCTCCTTGGCTTGGTGCTCCTCACAAGCAATGCAGAAAGCAAAGCACAGAGCTGTATCAAAGCATCAGCCCAAATCTCATGTAAGCTTAGCTTTGAGCAAGACACACTAGGTGGACTCGGGTTGGCTCTCTGCACGCTTCCCACAGCTGCACTTACACCCATCTGCTAGGCAGGAGAAAAACATTTATAGCAGCACTAAGCTGCAGTGCTCTCCCAAAAACTTACTGGAGATGAGAGCTGCCTTCACTCTACATGAAAGCTGCTCTTCCCCTTGTTTCCCACTGTGGTTGTTTCTGTTCCCCTTCAGTTCCTCTCACAGGGAGAGGATGAATTAAGATGGGAAAACTGCTTTTGCTCCCTTTGGGCAGCTGCAACTCTTTAGTGGCTGGGTGCAAGCTGTTATCATCAACTCCTTGCAGGAGTCCCCTGCAAAAAGGAGACCTCAGCTGCACATTTCTTACAATTGATAGCTCAGTGCGCTTGTTTGGCTTAAGCTGGATAAAGGAATATTTCCAGGAAATGTTGCAACTCTTAACAAAGGTGAATTTCAATCAACTCATATGGCCCTGCTCTATTTTAAGCATGATTTTAAGCACCCAACACATGTTGTAGATAGCCTGGGCATGTTTCCTAAGGAATGCTGGGTGGTCAGAGCTGGGCCTGGACAGCCTCCAGTCTGACTGGGTCCTTAGCTTACTGGATGCCAGTTCTGAGCAGCCCCTTCCTGCCAGTCTGTTCCCCCCTCCTGTCCTGATGTACATCTTCGCTATCTCTCTTGCCTTCTCTTCCCTGCTCTCTCTCTTTTTATTCATTTTACCCATCTTTCTATTCAGTTTCCTCCTCTGCAACAGTGACCAGACATGTCATGGATCTAAGAAGACCTGTGCTGCTATCACACCTCCCTTTGGTTCCTGCATTTCACCTCCATCTCCAAGCCTCTGCCTATTTAGTTCTACCACTCACCTGAGAGCCTAGGAAATAGTGAGCCCCTTTCTTGGTCTTTAGGCATTGCTTTAGTAAACATGGCCACTGACAGTGATAATCCCAGGAAGAACAACTTCACCCTTTAACGTGTCAGTAAACCCAATCAAATGAGGGACTTCATTGGAGAATCCCTCCCACCACACAGTCTCTTCTGAATGCTGTGGGGCACATCAGCACAACACCACAGGGAGCAGTTAGAAGATGGCATTCCTTAGTGAAACAAAACAGGATGTTGAAGTGTTGAACAATCACACATAGGCCTTGACTCACATGTTAGCTACAAACTAGCATCCTCAGACTCCAGCGCCGACCCACACATTCAGCAATGAATTAGAAGGGGAAAAAAATATGCCGCTAAATGAATTGCCAGCATTTGTTCACACTGTTGAGGTTTGTTTTCGTCCATTCATGTATTTGATTGGGCTTGACCCACTTAGCTGTGAACAGCTGGCAACAGCTTTGCCTAAAGGTATAAACCCATGAAAGAAGCTGAATTGTTAAGGGACAATGACTCAAAACATCCCCACCTTTGTTGAGACCCCAGGGTGCTGCGTTGAGACGGAGGAGGTGAACTTTTGGGTGTGTAGTGGCTAAACCTCTGATCTGATAAGGCACAGGATGAATGTGGTTGTGGATCCAGTGGAGAGGATTGTGCCCCTTGTCATGCTATGCTGTGCTCCCTTGCACAGACCACTGAGTTGTGGGGCTTCCTCCCCCTGGGGAAGTACCAGGGAATTCAGGATATTTGCCTGTGACCTCAACATGTTTATCTCTGCTGATGAGACTTACTGAACTGCTGCTTAGGATGGGCAGCTGTGTTGTCTTAGAAGGTGATTCACATTATTACATCAAGCTCCCCACCCAGGGGGAGGTACCTGAGCATTCCCTCTTGAACCACAGTGAACATAGACCCAATAGTTGTTGTGTTCTGGGGATTTCCTCCACCACCAGACAGATGTGGTCAGCCACCACCACTTTAACCAAGACTGTGCAGCAACCAAGTCTTGTCACTTGTGGGTGGTGAGATCCTCACACTCTTGAATTTTCTCTCTCCCTTTTTTATCTTGTGTGTGTCCTTGGGTGATGTTGTGCTTTTCTATTGCAATGCTTTTGTGTTGTTGTGTCACTATAGATAATAACCACCGAAACGGCTCCATACCTCTTTTCTTTGCAACCAAATTGTTCTATAATAAACCCTACACTGTTTATTTAAGAGCACTGACCATTCAGCGTTGTTTCATTCTAATCTGCCCCAAAGGAGCTATTAACAAGAATCTGGGTTACACTCATCTTCTGCAGTGACTCACAACACTCCAGACTCCCACAGCAACTCCAGGAAACACATTTAAAGCATCTCCTTTGTACATTTATACGTCCTTAACTAATTTGATAATGCCAACAAGCAGAAAGCCCTCACATAAGGCAAAATACTGTGAGCCTTACCATGTCTTTAAATGCCCCAAGAATGGCTGCTGTGATAATCCCCAGAAACAAGCCGATGATGTTGAGGACTGTGGAGGACCACAACAGTCTGTACAGGTGAAGCACATCCTGACAGCTGCTCACACCGAGAAATTCATAGTAGCTGGAGGACTGGTCTGAACTGAAAGAGAATGCAGTCAGCATCACTGGGGCAAGAATGGTTTTGCACATAATGCAGAGCACTACAGCATCTGACTCCTTCCTGCTTGCTTTTGTCTTTGGCAAAGTACTACATCCATGCTCTCACCAAAACTGCTCAGAACAACTGGAGAAAGCCCTGCTGAAAAACTGGCTCTGCTAAGACCAGCATCAAATGTAATCCAACTAATACCAGCCCTAGTTTGGCTGATTGGTGGTGGTTACCAGCATGGACCCTTCTTTATTTTTTGTTCAGTGTCTCTAAGCAGAGACATAATCTCGGTATATGGATGCTGCCCTTGTCATTTAGCTACCAGATAAAGCTTGCTTAGCTTTGCTTTTCTTCTCAGCTCACCTAGAAATCTGCTGGCATCTCAGAAACTGGGGAAGGCAAGTTGCTTAAGCATTAATTCAACCACAGGAAGAGAGATATTGCCAGCTCGCTACATTTGTTTATGGTGTCCGTGGTTCCAAATTAATGAAACACAGTACAGTATAAAGATGTCTTTACACTCAGGATTGCACTATCCAGAAATCTTTGTTCATATTTCTATGCCACATTGGTTATTGTAGATCAGGCATGTGGTGAAGTTACACCTCAGTGCCTTGCCAAAAGCCAGAAATATCCTACTGCCAAATTTGAAACCACAGGTTCCTGCAATTCTTTCCAGTACCTGCCTTAATATGAGACCACTAATGAGCTCCTAGGGCAGCTATTTGAGTTAGAAAGATTTTTTTAAATGCCAAGCCTGTTTTTCCACTGTTAGGAAATTGCCAAATTGCCATCAGATTATGGTGGAAACCAGAAGTGAGCAGTTTGTGTTCACTCTTCTGTTCCTCCATCCCCAGTACATGTACATGTGTGGTTAGAGAAAGCTCTGCAGAGCAGTCCACAACATTTCTGAGAAGAACCAAGCCAGGCACAGTAACTTCTGGAAATATCCAATCAATAGCTTCAGCTCATAGCTCTGGCACTGAAGAACCACTACTGTTGAGTTCACCTGGGCCCTGCTATGAGCCCATCTTAACTAAATAAATCTACAGCTTCAGCTGCCATAAGGCTGAGAAAATCAGATTTGCAACCCTGCCTTCATATCAGTCTATTCCATGGCTGATAAAAAAATCACTTTTGGGGCCTGTACCTCCTCCTACTTCTCTCTAGCCATCCTGTGAACTGGAATTGCCAAGTCTCCTGAGAAGTGTGACTGCTTATTTACCCTGGATTTGTCTATGCCAGTGGCATAAGATCTTGCTGTCCACTGTAGAATGTTGACAATAGTAGAACACACACATTTAATTATATCATTGAATAATGTCACAGCAGTGATCAGTCCCAAGTGTTTCAGACAAACTCAATGTCTTAGAAAAATGGTACTGAGGATCTCCATCTGAAAGGGAAAATATGCCTCATCTCTCCTTGTGGTTACTTTATACTTTAAGCAACAGTTTAAGTCACTTTTTTTGACAACTTCAAATACTTTCACCCCTTTAACACCCTTGCTCTTTTCTGTGTTGAGTTGGGCTGCTTGTTTCAGTGTTAACATGCAGGCATGAGCAGCATACCAGGGAAGGAAACACTCTCAATATATACATACTGCATTGCAAATATGATGTTCCATCATGTCTGTCATAGAAAAGGTACCAAAGTTGAGCATTCTCTACCTTTCCTACCTGTTTTGTATACCTCTATCATGTACAGATTTAACATTTCTTACTTAAGCAAAAGACTCTACAGAGGATTTTAATCCACTCCATAAATCTTCATTCACTTTGTGTCTCCCATCTACATAAGAAATATGCATGCATAAATCACTTCCCTCTAGTCTCAAATGTCATTTTACTTCTCTAGCTGAGATATCATCTGGCTAAGAGTTACTTTTTCATGCAGAAGCCTTTTATAGAAGTTTGATTGTTCTCACCTTGTTGCCCCATGCCTAAAGTGTTTATGTCTGGCATCACACTAGCCAAGTCTTACAGAGGACCGGGGTTATTCAGGGCTGCTAGCATGTGAAGAGGAGGCAAAACCAAAATCAGATAGATGTAGGAAGGAAGAAAGATGAGAAATACACAGGGGGGAAAAAAGGAAAAGTGCCTGTGGCTGAACTGTAGTGGTTGCAGAGGTTGCATGAGAGTGCATGGTAAGATGATATACAAGGGCAGGTGGAGATAAGACAAGAGAGAATGGTTTTAAACAAAACAGGGAAGATTTAGATATTAGGAAGAGATTCCTCACTGTGAGGATGGTGAGACACTGGAACAGATTGCCCAGAGAACTTGTGGATGTGCTATTAGTGGAAGTGTTCAAGGCCAGACTGGATGAGGCTCTGAGCAGCCTGGTCCAGTGGAAGGTGTCCCAGCCCATGGCAGGGGAGAATGAACTAGATGGTCTTGGAAGTCCCTTCCAACCAACACCATTCTGTCATTCTATAACAGTGAGATGTGCAAAGGGTGAGCCCAGCAGAAGATTCAGTAAATCTAATGGGAAGATGCATTGCCATACCAACATATATCTGAACAGGAATGTAACAGAGTGATCAGTTTTGATCACACAGCACACTAATGAACAACTCTTGACCTACTTCATGCTGGCATCAGGACTTAAATTGCAGAGGAATTGGATTTCTCAGTATACAAGCTCCTTGTGTTACTTCTTCAGGCCCTACCATTTATGAATAAGGACAACCTATCAAGAATTTCTCAGAGGCCATGGAATGCACACAAGTACTTACTTCTCACAGTTGTACAGATCACAGCAATAGCATGTGTTACTCTTCACTTTCAGCTGGCACTTGCTGTTTAAGGTATGACATGTCACCTGCCAAAAAAGCAGAATTACTTTTATGCTCAATGTTTCAATGTTGTGTGAATCATTGTACTGCACTGACCACAAAAAAAAAAAAAAAAAAGCTACTACAACATTGTCAAGTTGTATTACCTGTTGTGCAGAAAGATCCTGAGGTTCCAAAACTCATGACTGGAAGCCAGAAGGACATCCCTGACCTCACAGGAGTTTTAGCCAGGACAACAGCCCCTGAGTGTGAGGGTATTTGCACCGTGAAGCCCAGAGCTCCCAGCACCAGCCTGCAGCCAGGGCTGCCAGAGTTTTCAAGCACTTTGCTGCACTGCCTGGTGCTATTCTGCTGAGACCCAGAGTGTGCAGTCATGAGCCTCAGATCTCTACAGCTGTGATGAACTGACCACGGGTCTGGAGAAATACACTACACTACAGCAAGCACTTAAGTGGATAAGAGAACCAATCTGTTATAGTGGGGAAATGGCAAGGGAGCCAATTTATCTGAACAGCTCCCAATAAATGGGAGCTCTCCCCTTTCAGTGAAACCCTCCTGAAGAAGGAAATAATTATGAACAACAGCAAGAACAATCTTCAAACCCACAAACAGAATAACTCAGAAAAGATCCAAGCACTCCAGCAAATGAGTACCATTTATTGCAGGCTCTTGAATACAAAACTGAAAAGGTTTATTTATGTGAGGAGAAATTGCAGGGATGGACAGATGTTAGAACAATAAAGGCAGGCACATGTAAGCCACTCTCCATCCAGACACAAAATCATTTTAATGACTCCTTAAGTGTGGTAAGAATTAATCACTTCTATTTGGCACTACAGACCAATTGAAATATTTAATAAGTAAGGCTTTTTTTTTCTTTTTTTTTTTTTTTCCCTGAGGGTTTTAGCTTATTGACTTTGAAATTCTGGAGAGCTGTCAGGTTTTAAAAGCTAGCAGTCAGAAAATACATTCTTTCTATAGCTTCTATTTGATAGGAAAAAAAAAACCAAACCATAACCACTGAGAACTATTTTATTCACAAAATGCAATTAAAATGTATTATTGAATGGAAAACCCTTCATAATGAATAAGTAGGAGCATGCTTAGGAATACATGCCTGCTTTTGATTTATCAGTTTATCAGACAGCTCTGGCTGAGCCACAAACGTGTTACTGTATGGAATAGTGTCCACAAGAGATGTTAAACCAGATGTTTCTCACTTCCTAAGTTCTGTATCTGTGTATCATTTTAGTATGAAAACTGTCACTGTTGATGAGTCTGTACTCCTCACGTGCTTGTTTCCAGCAAAAAGGAAAGCCTTAAACACACACACTCAGCAACAGAGGAAGTTCATCTCACAACTGGCCTCAGACTTGTCACACTTGTCCTTAGCAGGATTTGATCAAGCAGTGGATGATGGGTGACAAAACTAAAGTCAGAAGGAGATTAAAATTATTCCTTGGGATTGCTTTGCTGCTCAGGACAAGGCTGTACCTGTGGTTAGTATCTCATACAAATCAGCTCTTCTATCCTGAAACGGTAGGTTATGAAAGGACAGTCTCAGTCTAGGTTGCAGTCTGGAAATGGAGCTCACAATTTGATACAGACACATCCCACTTGTCACAAAGACAGGGCCTTGTTCCATCACCATTGCTCCATTGTGTCTGAACTTACTGGAGTGTAACCTAAGGGCTTTGTTGGCCTGAAGTCACATTCAGCTGCAGCTGTCAGCCTGAGCTGCAGTTTACTGCAGAAGAGGAGCACATACTGCCACTGACTGCATCAGCTTTATCAAGGCAGTGACTGAACCATCCCACCTGGCTACATCCCAAAGAAGGCTGAAAACCAATCCTGGAGCACAGTGTGCCACCTCAGCCATTTTGTGGGATGCCCTATGCTTTTGCATTCAGTGTATTGTCAGACTTTGGTTTTGACCTCCTGTATGTGGTGAAAATGGCCTAGGACCTACAGAGTTAAAATACCCTTTTCCCATTACACATGCATGATTGGGATAGGAGGGCTTTATGAGATGGAATGGGCTGTTAAAATGTGGTTTGTTCTGATGCATGACTTGGGGACCACTAGGAAATAAAAGTAGTTTTTCCCTCTACAAACAATAACAAGGCCAGTCTGTCTGTTTTATTGGAGAAGGCTAGAAGTGCAAAACAGGGAGATTAACATGATCTTAAACATGTTCTTAGCTGCTTCTACACTACAAGACACATATTCTTGGCCAAGGAAGTTACAGTAGTTCTCTATTTTTATCACTGCATTTTTAAAACATGCATAGAACAAGACACTCCTTTTCAGGAGAACAGTGAATAAACCAAAATAAACAAAACAGTGTGTGGTGTGAGCAAGGGTGGTAGAAACAGGCCATTTGTAGGTATTCTGCATGTCAAGACCTATTATTTCATTTCAGTGACCAGACACACAGCTTTTTTCATGTCCTGGACATTTGTGATTGATTATCCCCAAGGCACCAATTGAAGATATGTTCTCCTCTCATGGTAATTACACGAAAATAAAATTCTTTCTGCTTTGAGCAAAGACAACTGAAATAGGCACACCAAATGAGCCAGAGACCACTTACAGGTGAGAGATATCAATCAAAAAGAAACTTGCAGCCAGTAAATAATCTGCTTTCCTAGTTAAGTGTTTGTCTGACATGCAGAGCATGTCTCCTGCTCACTAGCTGGCTACCTTTGGAAAAGCAAAAGCCAAGTATAAATGCCACAGATCCTTAACTCTGAATTAGCATACCCTAACTCTAAATCAGTGAACAACAAGACAAGAATGTTATTAGAATTTTAAAAGATATGTGGTTTGTTTTTTTTCCAGAATAGAGGAAGGAGTTCTGGGTGCCCAAGTTTAGACATTCCCAGAATCAACAGAGCTGTGGAAAACTGTCTGACCAGAAGCCTGAGGCTGGGGTCACCTGCAAGGAGTTGTGGTCAGTGTGACGCCAACTACATGCTTATTACAGGAGTCAGAAGCATTTCTCAGGCCATGTGCATACACACTTTAGAAGAGGAAGGAGTAAATCTTACAGGAAAGGGTGTTGTCACACTGCAGAGGTTTGTCTGGGTCAGTCTTTACATGAGGAGATCAGTGAAACATTTTTGTCATACATTTTCTGGAATCAACAACAGGATGCCCTAGCAGCAGGATTTAAGGAGCTGCTAAATTTGGTAGTATAGTTTACTAAGCTTTCTAGAAATATTAGTGGTAACATTCCCCATACACCTTTACTTAGCCATGGCAGGCATAGTGATGAAGAACAACTGGCTTCTTGAAAGTTATATCACTGTTTAGCTGCTCTCCATTTTGCTTTTCTATTCTCTCCCACCAATTTAACACAATAATAAAATAGGAAAAGAAACAAAATCTGAACTTCTTAGGAAGATAGCCATTTGGATACGGCCACTTTTCTGACCATGACAATGTCATTGAGACAGTAAAAATGTTTCATTCAAACCACTGATGTTCTTAGCCTGTGCTGGATAAATACAGAGATTTGAAGTCTTCTGAATGATACAAATGGATTAATTTAGATATTTCTTATTCCACTTGGAGTCTACAAAAGCCTTCTCAGAGGAAGATGCCAATGTGACAAACACATTCCAGACAGTTACTCTGCAGCATAGATGGACTAGGAAAAATTCCTGTCCCAGAGTAATGTACTGGATACAAACACTGATGATGACTCAAAACCTTACTGACTGTAGTGATTTGGAATCATCAGAGGCCTGGACAAGCAGGGAGTCACTTGTGGGAGAAAAACAGTAGGGTTTCTATCTACCCACGATCTATGTGCACAGACATGCTCTCAAACACCTCCCTCCCTCCTCCCTAGCACAGCAGAAACGAACACATGATGAGGTGAGTTTGTTTACCTCAGTCTGGTAGGCATCATACAGGAATCCTATTCCACTGGAATAAAACTGGCATCTTTTGTTATACAGAGGTCTGGGTTCCTGTAAAGAGAAAAGCAGCCAAAAAAAGTGATTGGTTTGGAGGAAGGGAAGGCACCATGTCCCACGTCCCCATGTGGATGCTTACAGCTCTGTGGAGGTAAAGCAATGCAGTCACTTGAGTAAACAGCTCACACCCCCTATGTTGGCATGTTCTTTCTAGAATGGCTCTCCTCAGGGCTGTATTTTCCACCGTCACTCTACCACTAAGCTATGTTGCTTTCACCTATTTTTCTCTAAAGTACATCACCTCTGGCATTTAACTACTTGATGTCATTTAACCACACTTGACGTCAAATAGTACTGCTCTGAGAATGGTCCAGTCACTCTTTTTGCTGGTACAGTTTCTTACCTAAGAACCAATATTTACTTTGCAGATTGTTTTCAAGATATGGGACTTTCTTTTTAAAGAATTTTCACAGTGTCCATGGTGAGAACAAAGTAAAATAGATAATAGTTTGGATATTCCACTTATAACACACACTCCGAACTCCAGAAGTAAAACAATGAATAATGAAGAAATTAAGGCATAAAGAGAAAGCAATTTACATTGCTTGGTTTTGCCTTATTTTCCATTTATGCTATTGCAAAAGATGCATTCACTGCTCATATTTCATATTTTGCTTGTAACAGTTCCCACAAACTGATATAAAGGAAGAACACAATGAAATATCCTTGGCCAGATGGAAAATGTGTGTTTCTGACCTTGGCAAACACCCATTTTGAAAGCTGGAGGGTGCATACCTCAGTTACTTTCAGGACTAGACCATGTTTGTTTTGCAAGGATTTGACAACTTGAGTCCTCTGTGATCCAGTGTCTACCCCAAAGCAGTGTTGGAATTACTTATGTTGGCTTTTCCAACTTTTTGTCACTTATCTAGTCCTGATCTGTGCTTTCAAAATGTGAAGAGCTGGGAGCATGTGTCGATCTGTTGGGAGGGAGGAGGGCTCTGCAGAGAGACCTGGAAGGGTTGGATGGATGGGAAGAGTCCAATAAGATGACATTTAATAAGTTCAAGTGCTGAGTCCTGCATTTTGGCCACAATAACCCCCTGCAGTGCTACAGGCTGCGGATGGTGTGGCTGGACAGTGCTCAGGTGGAAAGGGACCTGGGGGTACTGCTGACAGCTGGCTGGACATGAGCCAGCCCTGTGCCCTGGTGGCCAAGAAAGCCAATGGCCCCTGGCCTGGATCAGGAATAGTGTGGCCAGCAGGAGCAGGGGGGTCATTCTCCCCTTGTACTCAGCACTGGTGAGGCCACACCTGGAGTGCTGTGTCCAGTTCTGGGCCCCTCAGTTTGGGAAGGACGTTGAGACACTGGAGCGTGTCCAGAGGAGGCAACGAGGCTGGTGAGGGGTTTGGAACACAAGCCCTGTGAGGAACGGCTGAAGGAGTTGGGGTTGTTTAGCCTGGAGAAAAGGAGACTCAGGGGTGACCTTATCACTCTCTACAACTCCCTGAGAGGTGGCTGTAGGCAGGTGGGGTTGGTCTCTTTCTCCAAGCAGCAACTGACAGAACAAGAAGACAGAGTCTAAAGCTGCATCAAGGGAAATATAGGTTGGATATTAGGAAAAAGATTTTTATGGAAGGAGTGATAAAGTACTGGAATGGTCTGCCTGGGGAGGTGGTAGAGTCACCATCCCTGGATGTGTTTAAAAAAGACTGGATGTGGCATTGGTGCAATGATTTAGTTGAGATGTTAGGGCATGAGCTGGACTCAATGATCTTAAAGGTCTCTTCCAACCTAGTGATTCTGTGAAAGCACTCAAATGCTCATTGCTCCTCAGTATATCAGTCAGACCAGATCCAAGACAGAAGATGGAAACACTATCTGCCATCCCCTCTTTCCATGCCAACTTACAAACAAAGGACTATTTGTGTTGCTAACAGAAATCTTCACTGATTAACTTTCACTGAAATTTAAATATTTAAGATCCATCCAGGAATAATCTGGATTTTGCAGAAAGATCTGCACTACTTCAGATCACAAGCAGAGCATTGCTTGTTGGATAATGAAGTGTGAACTGTATAAATCTGCTGATCCAAAGTACATAATTAGTTAAAATGCAGAGTTTGGCAGGAATGCAGATAGATCAATGAATAAAGTTCCTCCATCAGCTTGTTTGCCTTTCTGATTACTCCAGCAAGCTTAAGCAAGTTTGGACACCAGCTCTCAGGGGTTAGAGAAAGGTTAGCTTCCTGCATCCAAAAATATTTATTTATACTACACAAGTGTAAGAAAGAATACTTCAGTAGTTTTTTTTTTGTCTACAGGAAACGCAAATACCACATGAACAGCATGCCGTGTCTTGAACAAGGTCAACATTCTTCCACAGTCCTGGGAAAGCATTAGCCTTTAGCCATGACTTTCAGGGACAGATCTGGTCAATATCTCAAAGAGGATTGCAATATCTCTGCCAGAACAAGGAGCTGACAAGGAGAGGATCTCTGCTGGACTTCATAGTTACAAACAAGGAAAGATTGCTCAGGGATGTGAAGGTCAGGGGCAGCCTTGCCCCTAATGATGTGGTGGGGTTCAGAATCTGGAGAGGATGGAGCAGGATCCCAACTCTGGACTTGAAGAAAGGAGACTTTGACTTTTCATGTCTTTTTTATGTTTGGAAGAATTCTATGGGATGCAGCCCTGGAAAGCAATGAGGTCCAGGAAAGTGGGTTGATATTCAAGGTTCATCTCCTCCAAACTGAGGAACAGTTCATCCCATCTAGCAGGAATCAAGCAAAGGCAGCATGAGGCCTGTGTGGATAAACAAGGAGTTCCAGATGTAACTCAGGCATGAATAGGAAGTCTATGAGAAGCGCAATAAAGGGGAAATCACCAGGGAGGAAAATAGAAAAATTATATGAGTATGCACAGATGGAATGCCAAAGCTCACTTGGAATTCAGTCCAGCAAGGGTTGTAAAGGGCAGGAAGAAGGGCTTCTGTTGAGTGTATTAGCAGCAAAAGAGAAATCAGGAAAATACGTGCACATTACTGAATAAGGCAGGCAACACAGTACAAAAAGATCATAAGATCTAAGTATTCAGTGCCTTCTTTGCCTTGGTCTACAGTGGAAACCAGTGAGAAAATCTGGCACAAGAAAGAATTACCCTTGCTAAAGGGGGGATTGGAACATTTAAACAGAATGGAGATACAGTCTGTCTTCAAGGATGACAAGAAAGACAATCAAGGGAACGATACACTGATGGGAAGGGTGGAGCAAATAATCTTGGAAACAATTTCCAAGCATCTCAAAGACACAAAAGTGATTTGGACTAGTCAGCATGGATTTACAAAGGGAGTGTCATGTCTGACCCACCTGTTGACCTTCTACAAGGATGTGACTGGCTTGGTGGATGAGTGGAACTTCTTGCTCATCTGCTTCTGGATCTTTATCTTCACTAATCCCTCTGGCAATGTCTCATTCTCACAGATGAGCTGATGAAATATGGGCTAAATAAAGGTCAAGCCAGGTGGACTGAAAGCTGGCAGAACTGCTGAGGTTGTAGTGTTGGGAGCAGTGACATGAAGTCCAGCCAGAGGTGACTTAATAGTTGTCTACCCCAGGGGACAATATTGTGTAACATCTCAATTACTGAACTGGATGATGGGTACAGTGCTAGCAGATGATACAAAACTGGGATGAGTGGCTGAAACACCACAGGACCATGTCATTGTTCAGAGTGACCTGGGCTGGAGAAATGGCCTGCAGGAACCTAAACAAGTTCAGTACAGGAAGATGTCAAATTCTGCTCCTGGGGAGGAATAATCCCATGCACCAGAAATGACTGGGGCCTGACTGGCTGGAGAGCAGCTTTACAGAGCGTCCTGGTAGGTAGCAAGTTAAATATGAGCCAGCAGTGTGTCCTTGTGGCAAGAAAAGCCAGCTGTATCCTTGACTGCATTACAAAGAGCACCACCAGCAGGCCCAGGAAGGTGATCCTTCCTCCTAACACTGAGACACATCTGGAATATTGGGTAAACTGCTGGGCTCCCCAGTATGAGAGCGACCCCAGACATGGTCTGTGAATTAACTGACTGGAATACCTGTCATAAGAGAAGCAGAGCTGGGACTGTTCAGCCTAGACAAGAGAAGGTTCCCATGTACCTTATCAGTATGGATAAATACCTGATGGGGAAGTGAAGAAGATTGAGCCACAATTCTCTTAGAAGTTTCCAGAAAAATGAGATGCAGTGGGCACAAACTGAAATATGGGAAATTCCATTTAAACATAAGAAGAAACCGTTTTTTTATTCTATGGGTGATTAAACACTGGAACAGGTTTCCCAGAGTGGTTGTGGAGTCTCCATCCTTGGAGATAGTCAAACTGGACACAGTTCTGAGCCACCTGTACTAGCTGACACTGCTCTAAGCACAGGCGGTTGATTAGAAATCTCCAGAGTTTCTGCCCAGTCTCATCAACTCTGATTCTGTGAAGAGGGTCAGAGTCTATGTCAGGATATGAGCAGATCAACAAGTTCTCTCAAAGTATCACAGGTTATGAGTTTAGCAGATATACCTTAGCACCTGGAGACAGATGTTCCCTGGCCTTACCTTTGGGGCATTCATATCTTACTACAGGTTGCTGATGAGTGACACTACCACGTCACACTATGAGGCTGAGTCTGACCCTGAATGCTAAGATACTGCCCCCAGACACCACTATATCTTCCTTCTTAAAGGCAGTGAGAGAGCTGTCTAATCTGCCTCCATCAAGTACAGGAAGACACTTTTGGCCCTGACCTCTTGCCTTACACAGTTTTTCTACCTCTTAGACCTTCTTCCTCTTGAAAAATAAATTGTTTCTTTTATTGGTTTGGTCTTGATGGAGAATACAAGCACACCTGTCATCCAAGTGTGCTTGTGACTGGAAGGAGCACTGTTCTCTGAGGTAAGAGTTGGTTGATTTATCTATACCACCTATTATGGCTTGATATTGCTGTGCAGTAAAAAGGTCAGAGCTGTGTCTTGGAAGCAGCCACAGTGAATACAATTATTACATT